TATTCCTTAGGCAAAGGTGCAAAGTGAATTTGTGGCCCTGAGCCTATAACAGCAAAACACAAGATGAAGAACCTAGCCCGGCTGGTGTGGCTCAATGGTTGAGTGTCGACCTCTGAACCAGGTAGTCACCATTCAGTTTCTAGTCAGGGCACCTGCCTGGGTTGTGGGCTCGATCCCCAGTGCACAGGAGGCAGCTGATCAATGATTCTCCCTCATCATTGATGTTTCAATATCTCTCTCCCTCTCCCTTCTCTGAAATCAACACAAATATGTATTTTAAAAAAGATGAAGAGCCCTAGAAAGCATGGCTGGGATGGAAGCAAGACCCTTGGAATTAGTGCTTGGCCATGCAGAATCTTCAACACGTACAATCAAGAGGTAGTTTTTTTTTCTTCTAATTTGTAGAATTTAAAAATTTTTTATATTGAGATCTGACACATTAACATTACATTAGTTTCGGGTGTACAACATGATGATTTAGCATATGAATATACTGTAAAATGACCACAAAAGCCTAGTTAACATGCATCACCTCACATAGTTACAAATTGTTTTTCTTAAGATGAGAACTTTTAAGATCTACTCTCTCAGCAACTTTCAAGTGTACAATGCAGTAGTATTAGCTATAGTCCTTATTCTGAAGAGGTAATCTTTTCTACATAGCATTTATTATGCTATCCTATATAATAAAAGCCTAATATGCTAAGTGTCCAGTTGTCCAGTCAGCCGTACAACCAATCAAAGTGTAATATGCTAATGATATGGTAAGGCAGCTCAACAGCTCACTATGATGTGCACTCACCACCAGGGGGCAGACAGTCAACAGGTTGACCAGTCGCTCTGACCGTGCACTGACTACCAGGGGGAAGACGCTTCGACCGGTAGGTAAGCTTGCTGCTGGAGTCCAGTTGATTGGGACTGAGCCAGACAGGCCGGACACGCCCTGGAGCCCTCCCACAGTCCCTCCCCAGCTGGCCAACCTCCTGCGTTCCTCCCTGGCCCCGATCATGCACCAGTGGGGTCCCTCGGCCTGGCCTGTGCCCTCTCACAATCCGGGACCCCTCAGGGGATGTCAGAGAGCCAGTTTCAGCCTGATCCCACAGGCCAGGCTGAGGGACCCCACAGATGCACGAATTTGTACACCTGGCCTCTAGTTTAATATATTTGTCCATTTTTGTGGCTAGCTTAGTTTCTGCTACCAATAGATGTTGGATTAATGAGTTAATCAATGCATGCATACGATATGTGTTTCTATCCAGCATTATTCAGATCAGGTTTGGAATTTTATGTTCAATTCAAGGCAGGCACTCCTTAAGCTCAGAGCTCCATAGCGTGAGAGGGCTAAGACAGGGCGTGTCATGAGGGGCAGTGTAGGTTATGGGACAGTTAGTCTTGGAAGAGAATGCTCAGAGAAACAGTAGAGTGTTTTTTTATGCCTGACCAGCGTGGCTTGGTGGTTGAGCATTGACCTATGAACCAGGAGGTCACAGTTCGATTCCTAGTCAGGGCACATGCCTGGGTTGCGGGCTTAATCCCAAGTGTAGGGCATGCAGGAGGGGGCCGATTAGTGATTCTCTCTCATCACGGATGTTTCTCTGTCTCTCCCTCTCCTTTCCTCTCTGAAATCAATAAAAAAATATATTTTTAAAAAGTAGAGTGTTTTTTTAAAGTTTTCTTCCATGTGAGTCCAGAGGCAGAATAGGGGTCTATAGTAGAAGTTACCCCAAAGTAAACTGAGGCTTCATATGAGGTAGTTGTTGAACTGTCTCAGGTGTTTAGATGGGAAGCTTAATTAGGGGGAAGGTTGGACCAGGTATCCTTTAAGGACGTTTCCTGCTATAAAATTTGCTGTGTGTGTGTGTGTGTGTGTGTGTGTGTGTGTGTGTGTGAGATGCGGCTCTCCTCCTGTACCCAGTCATAGGTTTTTGTTTGTTTTTTACTGGATAAAATGTGGGTACAGCCATCCCGTGAAAGGACATTATTTCAGGGAATGTGAGCATGGTCCATATGTTGACACACACGTAATGATGCATACGCATATAGCAGTATTGACTAATTTTTATTCAGCACGTACCTCGTGCCAGACTCACTAACCACTTTTTATGTGCTGTGTCATTTAAAGCTTCCAGTCCTCCTGTAAGCGCAGGGACACCTCACCCATATCCTCTTTCTCTAGATGAGACTGACTCTGTGAGGTCACAGGTGACATTCCCACGGGCACACAGTGAGGCAGCACTAGGATGAACATCTGGTATGTCGCCCGGCCTCACAAACAAGCATGTGTGGTTCGTAGTTAGACTCAGGCCCACATTCTAACTAGGCCTGTACATGTATCACAGAACAGAGCCACCTAAGTCCCTACCGCTGCCCAGTCGCTGGCTCATTAGATGAGAGTGATGGTCCTAGAGAAGGGGCGGGTCAGCTTCCCTTTAGAGTGAGGGTCATCCCCACCCTTCTTTAGGATGCACTCGCTTCAACCTTTAAAAAAATATATTTTTATTGATTTCAGAGAGAAAGGGAGAGGGAGAGAGAGATAGAAACATCAATGATGAGAGAGAATCATTGCTTGTCTGCCTCCTGCACACCCCCCACAGTAGGGATGGAACCGCAACTCAGGCATGTGCTCTGACCAGGAATCATCGAACTGTGACCTCCTGGTTCAGAGGTCGACGCTCAACCACTGGGCTCGCTGCAGCCTTAAGGAGCTCAAGGCCCCGCGGGGCCTGCTGGTGACGTTGATCTGCAGCGCCCGTGCCACAGCCCTTCCCGGGCTGGAAGTAACCCCAGGGGTCTGTCGTTGAGGCAAATGGAGTTTTCTGTGACTAATTATTTCTTTGTGGAATTTGTGTGTTTCATTTCCACCTGTCTGTGTGCACGGGGGCATTGGTTTTCGTTTCCGAGTGGGTGAAGTTGGCACCAGGTAACTGGCTCCTCTCAGCCGGCAAGAGCCTCCAGGTGGATGAGGGTGGTTGAGGGAGCAGAGCTGCAGTCCAGCTTTGTCTCAATCATCCAATGGGTGCAGGAAATTTCTGCGAAATGGGTGGGCAGCGTGGGTCCACTTCACCTGCCCCTCCATGAAGCGGAGCCTGCTGGCTTCTCAGACCCACGCAGCAAACAAAAAGCGGTCCCGCTGCTTTATCCTCACGCACCAAATCTGTGCATCAGTAAAGTGCAGGCCCTGACAGGAATTTCAATTATTTAATCAAAAAGAAAATGAAAGAGGTCTTAAGTGTTGTGATTCGAAGACAGCCTTTTCATAGACCAATCTAGTGTGCGCTCACATTGAATATGAAGCAAAATGGGAAGGAAATTAAGGCAGCTTCGGCTTAAATCATGTGATTGCAAATAGTAAATTAGTTTCTCGATGTTTTCATTTAAGTGTTTAAGTGGAAGGTTTTATTCCTAATGTAGTGCAGTGACACAGAAGAGCACCCTCAGCCAATTCCAGCTCCCCACCCTCGCCTCAGCGAAGCATTTGCCCTGGGGAGGGGGCCGCCGAAGATGGAGAGAGAAGGGCAGGCACAGCCTCAGCACGTTGAGATCCTTTTGTTTCAAATTGCTACCCAAGTCCGCTTTCACAGCCAACTCATTAATCGAGCAGATGAGCAACGTCTGTTGAAAATGTACTAAGCGAAATGCATTTAATTTGGAAGGGAAATCAGGAACTGCATTAGTCAGAGCCTATAAATGGCAGCAGCATCCATTCGGCTGTTGTTTTGTCTGGACTCACTGCATTTGTTCTTAGGGCCGAGGACGAGGTAAATGGGCAATGTTGAGCTGGAGGGAAAGCGTGCGCCTCGGGCTCTCGGAGGCTTCTGGGTGGCTTTGCGGGGCTGGACCTGGGCCCGCTATTGGCCTGGGCCAGGATGTCAGGGAATCTCTCCGAAAGCGCTAATTGGGTGGCACCGCGGTGACCCCTGAACTGGTGCAACAAGTGGAGGGAGGTCATTTCTTTGTAAATGAGTACCTCTTTGTGTTTGCAATTAGCTTTGGTCATTTGGCTGGGAGCTGACAGCGGTGCCCGGTGGGAGGTCAGGCGCTGGTTCATTCTATACAACAACAGTGAGTGAACTTTTAATATCAAGTTAGCCAATGAGGCTGGAGATCCCTGAGGGTTTGAGCGACAGGCCCCTCTTGCAGCCTTGTGAGGGGAGAGTAGGTGCAAGTGTGCCTTAACTGGCAGCTGGCAGCTCTGCCAGGGTTACCGACGCTGTCTCTGCCAGGGCACGCTCAGTTTGATTCCCTTGAGGCCCCCTCCTCCAGGAAGTATTCCTTGCCAAGAAATGCTTTTTCTCAATAAACTCCTGGAAAGCTTCTGATCTATGTTTCTGTGCTGGTTTCTGGACACTGGGTACTGAGCAGGCACTAACTTTTATTATTGTTCAACTTTCTTTTTATGGTTGAATGGCATTTTCACTCTTTAAAATATATATATATATATAAATTGATTTCAGAGAAAAAGAGAGAGTGAGAGAGAAACATCAATGATGAAAGAGAATCATTGATCGACTGCCTCCTGCACACCCCCTCAACCTGGGCATGTGCCCTTGACCAGAATTGAACCCAGGACTCTTCAGTCTATAGGCTGACGCTCTATCCACTGGGGCCACACCGGCTAGGGCTGCAGCATGGTTTCAGATTGCTTTTCTAACCTTTGTGTTTTCTGTAACTGGAAGTGAGGTGAACCTGATTCGATTCGGGTTAGACATTGGCGGGGATGCTTCATAGGTGCTGGTGTGCACTTCAGTTTGCACCACATTGGGCACCGTGATGTCTGGCTGTCCTCACGAGGGATGCTCACATTAGTCACAGAGTCAAGTGGGGGTCGCCTGCTTGCTTCATATAAACTCACACTTTCTTGTTTGGGAGCAGCAAGTAATCTGTAGGGGATACTTTGTCATTAAGCATTACCCAGTTTCTCTCATTCTACAGCCATAGTCCTGCGAGGGCCTAGGTCCCTGCGTTAGACAGTTTACTATTTTGTGCAGCACCTGGTAGTGCAAGATCTGTAGTAATATTCAAATACTCGCTGAAGGAGTGAATGAATAAATGGATGGATGCATGAGGTTTCAGCGAATAAAATGAAAATTTTAACTTAATGAGAAATTCTGCAAACCTGCTTGTGACTGACACATTGGCAAAGGGGTCCAACACTGTTCGGAGTGCTGAAATGCTAACAACTGCATCTCGAGTGATTCAGGGCTTCTAGCCTCAGCTTTGCAACTAATTTGCTGTGTAACTTTGGACAAATCACTTACCATTTCTGGAGCTTATTTGTACTACAAGGAATACAAGAAGGAAACAAACAAACCAACCTGTAAGATTCTACCAGCCTAAGCATTCTAGGATTAAATAAATACAAAGAGCTATATAGACAAGGTAGGTGGAGCCTACAGATCTTGATCTCACTTGAACCTGGGTTTTCTTGTACAGTCTAGGCTTGTGGTGTTTAATGAACTTACAGGTTGTCATAGTAACCATCCTCCCCACAGCTTGTTATCTAATAACTAGCCATTCAACCATTACCAGGTAGGATCTTCGCCCCGTTTCATATTGAACTGGAAAGGTGACCAGGGATTGATAAGCCTTCATACCATTTTATAAACAATAGAAAATACTTGCTTCTTTCCCCAGCAAAGTCAAGTCCTCCAGGCGGGATCACCTGAGTGGTTCTCTCATTGATGCATTTACTTATTTATCCATTATTCAGTCAGTCCATTTTTGAGCTCTTACCATGTGCCAAACATTGAACTCAATGCTTGGGGTATAAACTTTGCTCTACTGAGGGAGAGAAGTTCTTAAAGAGGCAGTTGCCCTGGCCAGGGTGCTCAGTGGTTAGAGCATCGGCCTGCATACTAGAGGGTCTTGGGTTCAATTCCAGGTCAAGAACACATACCTGGGTTGTGGTTTCGTCCCCCTCCCACCCCCCATTGGGACAGGTGTGGAAGGCAACCGATTGATGTGTCTCTCTCACATCGATGTTTCTCTCTCCGTCTTTCCCTCTCCCTTTCATTCTCTCTAAAAACATCAATGGAAAAATTTCCTCGCTCCTTGGATAAGGATTAAAAAAGAAAAGAAATGAAATGAAAAGAGGCAGTTTCCATACAGTGAGAAAAACATTATGATGTCAGAAGTAGATGGTGGCATAGAGACAGGGCCCCTAACACATCTGGGGCCTTAGGGAGGCCTCCATGAGGAAGTGACTTCTTTCTATGGAGAATTGTATAGATAAGCAGAGTAGAGTGAGTATGGCTAGATAATAAGTGTTCCTGGCAGAGAGGGTAGCATATACGAGGACTCAGGGTTGGGAGAGAATATGGCATGTTAAAGAGCTTAGAGCACTGGGAAACCACTAATGATTTTTTTTTGAAACGTTTTTCATTGTGGTAAAATATACATAAATACTATCAAAGGATTTTCAACTCGAACCAACACAACCAGATCTGCACATTTGAATCGCCACTCTGGCAGTAAAGAAAGGATTGGAGTGACAACGGGGAACGGAGACGGTGAGCAGTTAAGGTCGTGCCGCTGTCATGGGCGTAAGCGTCTTGCAGCAGTGTTTATATCTTCTAAGCTGCCACCGACGTGCCTCACATCCACAGAAATAACTAATAAAGATCTGTTGAATGAATGGATGGTTGTTTATTGGCTGAATGGACTTATTTCTGGAAACACCAAAAATTTACTTTCTGGACTTCCTAGTACCGTTCCTTTACGTCCTCATGCATGGAAACTTGAGCTGAAGTTTCCTAAATTACACCTCTGCTCAGAAATCCTTCATTGGCTCCTATGCTCACCCCGCTGTCCTCAAAAGTAAAAACAAAGCCTTCTGAGTATCTTTCAAAGGATTATCAATAAGAGCATGACTACATTTCAAAATACTACTCCAAATCCACTCCACTGATGCCAGTCTCAGAGTCCTGCAGATACAGTGTGTTCGCCGCCCCCCCCCACCCCCTCCCTCCCCGCTGTGAGTACTTGTACTGCTATCCTTAGCGGAGCAGTTTCATCACCTCCATTTCACCTGTACAAACTCTACCTTCCTTAATGGTCCAGCTCTAATATTGTGTCTTGCCCAAAGCCTTCACTCATTCATTATAATTGATAGATGATTTCAATAAAATTTTATAAAAATTAAAGCAAATTGTTCTTCATAGAGAGTGCATAAATTTGCATTCTTTGCATCAATGTATGAGTGATTCTTTCTCCCACAACTTTGCTAACAGAGTGGATTTTAAATTAATCAGATTTAAAAAATTTAATTCAGTAGTTAATGATGTTGTCTCAGTGTAATTAAACTTTTATTAGTCTTACTTTTAGTATTAGTAGCATTTTAAAAAGTTTAATGGCCATTTATATTTTCCTTCTTTTTAAATGTATTTTTATTGATTTCAGAGGGGAAGGGAGAAGGAGAGATCAAAACATCAATGAGAGAATCATTGATCAGCTGCCTCCTGAACGCCCCCTACTGGGGGATTGAGCCCGAAAACTGGGCAGGTGCCCTTGACTGGAATCGAAACAGGTACCTTCCATTCTGCAGGCTGACGCTGTATCCACTGAGTCAAACCAGCTAGGGCTATATTTTCTTTTTGTGTGTGAATGGTTGTGTGTGTGTGTGTGTGTGTGTGTGTGTGTGTGTGTGTGTTGGTCTATCTTGGCCCATTTTTAAACTGTGCTCTTGATCTTTTTCCTCACTGATTTGTAGTAACTTTTAAAAATTATGTTTTTATTTATTTTTTAGAGAGAGAAAGGATAAAGAGAGAGAGAAACATTGATGTGGAAACATTGATAGGCTGCCTCTTGCACACCCCCTATTGGGAATCGAGCCTGCAACCCAAGTATGTGCCCTGTTGGGCAATCCAATGGGCAATGCTTCGGTACCTGGGATGATGCTCAACGAACTGAGCCACTCTGGCTAGGGCGGCAGTAACATTTTATGTATAACAGATTATTCCTGTGCCTGCGATATGAGTTGCATATATTTTCTCCCAGTTTATTGTTCATCTTTTTTTCTTTGCTTATGATAGTTTTTGCCATAAAGAATTTTTTAAAGTTAATATAGTTAATTTTATTAATATTTTTCTTCTATGGCATCTAGGCTTATATGTTATACACAGAATGGCTTTTCCTATTTTAAGTTTAAGAAAATCTCTCCAATATTTTTCCTTTTGCTTCCTTTTAAAATTACTATCTTGATCATTGTAAGACATTGTAAGATCATTGTAAGACAAATTCGATATTATACTCCAATAGTGACAACATTTATACCTTCCATTATTACATATATTTTTTGGTCCACTAACTCCATTGTGTTAAAAATGAGAGTTAGAAGAATAAAAATCAATTTGAATTTATGAACAGTATTTTCAAACAAAATATAAATGATCCAGAATTTAAACAAAAACACCAAAAATTTAGTTCTGCACATGAGGCCCTTTTGGGAAATGTTTACAAGCTCATCTTTGTATCTAAAAATAGAGTTTGAAAAGGTCTTACAATCTCTTACATCAGAAATTCACAGTATATAGTGGTAGTAATGAATACCCCTTTATTTTCTTTTTAAAAAGTATACTTTCATTGATTTCAGAGAGAAAGGGAGAGGGAGAGAAAGATAGAAACATTAATGGTGAGAGATGCCCCTTTATTTTCAAAACTATGCATACTAGTTTGGTATTACTGTTAAAAGCACATTGTGTCATTGAGTGCTAAATTTTAACGCTGATAATAGAATTTGGGTGCTTTAGAATGGAAGAAGAGAATATTTAAAAAGCATTTGTGTTAGCTTATTGTTTTTGTTTTTGTTTTCCTGGTAAATATATTTGGCTACTCTTCTGGGACTTGAGGAAAATGGTAGAATTCTGGTAAGAAACTGATTTAAAGATCATTCACACTCTACTATATCCTTTTAGAGAATTAAGAAATGCTGCTGTATGGCCCTGGCCAGTTTGGTCAGTGGCTAGAGTGTCAGCCTGCCTACGGAGAGATCCTGGGTTCCATTCCAGTCAAGGGCACATGCCCAGGTTGCAGGCTCGATCCCCAGTAGGAGGCATGCAGGAGGCAGTCGGTCAATGATTCTCTCTCATCATTGATGTTTCTATCTCTCTCCCTCTCCCTTCCTCTCTGAAATCAATAAAAATAAAACAAAATAATAAAAAATAGAAAGAAATGATGCTATAAGATCTCTCATATTTCAAACCTTTAATTACCTTAAGGTCTTTCTTTCTATCACAAACTTTATGAAGCCTGTTTTGAATTGAGATGCCAAAGGCAGTATAGAAAACTTCACTAGAGAAAAGAAATGAAAGTTTTTGCTCTTAAAGACGGGCCCAGTCCTGAATGAACAAACTGGATGGGCTTAGTTCACCTTACCTGAGGAATACTGTGATTTAAGTACCCTCTCTTTGAATGTGTTTTCATGTGAGTTCACATCCTATTTTCCGGTATAAAAGAAGATGCATTTGCAGGAAGCATTCATGACGCCAGTTCTTTCTCTACACATGTCATCCACTTTGGTAGTGCTTAAAATAAAGTCCTCAGATAGAAGGGAGTTGAAACAGACAACAAGCAACATAACACAGAAATGTTATGAGTAAAGTGCGTTACTCAGATCCTCCTAAAATACATTTCTCCCCTTATTTGAAGGCCACAGTATAGGCAACTTGGCTAATGGAGCCAGTCTTTTCCTTTGATCATCAATAGGGGTATCTTTTTGAGAAACTAAGTCCTGGCTCAGATGACAGTTCAGATGAGACTGACATGAAAGAGAGTAGTATTGTTTAATTATTTGATCTCTGAGAAACATCTTTCTTCTCTTTAAATTAATTAGTAATTCTTCAGCTGAAGCCATAAGCAGCTCTATCATGTCTTGCAGATTGGGGTGGGAGAGGGTTTATTTGATCTTTTCTTTTTGCTCAAGGCAGTGTGCAGAATCTGATTGTATGTGTCAGCTACAGCTGGCCCTGGGTGACAGACTTTTAGTCAAATGAGAATAAAAAATTAGTGTAATGTGAGTGCATTTATTGAATCTCCTGAGGTTGGGAAGATGTGTGGTGAGTAGCCTGGAATATAGTAGATGCTCAATAAATGCTCATAATTATCTAAAATAATGGATGGATGAATGGCAAGTGTACTGGACTAGCTTCAGATCTGCTTTCCATTTTCTCTGTGTATGTAGATCTACACTGGAGAGGGATAAAAGGGATTGTGACCGTTAACTGGCCACGGGCTGTCCAATAGGCAACCAAGAGCCACAGGAGGCTCTTGAGCACTTGAAACCTGGTTGGTCTGAACTGAGATGTACAGCAAATGTGAAATACACACTGGAGTTTGGAGATTTAGTATTAAAAGGAAATGCAAAATAATGTCATTAATAATATTTATATTGATTACATGTTGAATAATATTTTTGACATATTGGGGTTAAATGAAATATATTAATATTTCACCTGTTTCTTCTTACATTTATTTATTTATTTATTTGAGAGGATGGAGGGGAGGGGGAGAGACAGAAAGAAACCGATTGGTTGCCTCCCCCACGAAGCCCTAGGATCAAGCCTGCAACCAAGGGGCGTGCTCTTGACCAGAATCAAACCTGAGACCCCTAAGTCCGTAGCCTATGCTTTAGGCACAGCCAAACCAGCCAGGGCTGTTTCTTCTTACTTTTTAAATGTGACTAGTAGAAAATCTAAAATTACCTATGCGGCTCATATATTTTTTTAAATATATTTTATTGATTTTTTACAGAGAGGAAGGGAGAGAGATAGTTAGAAACATCGATGAGAGAGAAACATCGATCAGCTGCCTCCTGCACATCTCCCACTGGGGATGTGCCCGCAACCCAGGTACATGCCCTTGACCGGAATCGAACCTGGGACCTTTCAGTCCGCAGGCCGATGCTCTATCCACTGAGCCAAACTGGTTTCGGCTGTGGCTCATATTTTTATTGAACAGTACTGCTCTAGACTTTACAGACAATCCAGGCAATGAAACATTTCTGCTTTTAAGGGCAAACTGCTTACAAGCTATCTGAGAATGTGACATGTACCTCTTACCCCAATGGCCCTAGGGACGTGGGTGGAGGAAGGCCTGTGGGCTCTGGAATGCCTCTTCCTCCAAACCTTGGACAAACAGGATTGCCTCTCAAGCGGGGGCTGGCCTCCCTGGCGGCCTCTGTCACCCACTGCAGAAGTAGGAGGGGCCGGGCATGAGGCCCCTGAGAAGGCGGGGCTGGGTTCTGTTCATCCCAGAGCTCCCCCTGGTTCTGCTCAGTAGCCCCAACACCGTAAGGACACTTCCCAGCATTTTGGACCTCAAGATTTCCCTGAGAGCTCTAAGAGCAGCGTGAGGCTCAACCCCTCAGGAACGTTTCCAGGACAAGACTTGCCTGCACAGCCTGTCCACCCGAGTGCTAAGCTCCGGTCCACAGGCCCATGGCAAGCCCGGCTGTGGCTACCTGAGCACCTGGGAGAAGGGGGTCTCCCTCATCCAGTAGGGTGTAGACTTAGGGATCCCTGTCTGCCTCCACTTCCACAGATCCCCTATTCTCACCCCTGTTCCCCCCAGGGGCCTGCTTTGGTGCTGGTGGCTGTTTACTTTCTCAGCCATGAGCTTTATTTATTTAGATATATTTTTATTGATTTCAGAGAGGAAGGGAGAGGGTAAAAGAGATAGAAACATCAATGATGAGAGAGAATCATTGGTTGGCTGCCTCCTGCAGGCCCCACACTGGGGATTGAGCCCGCAGCCCAGGCATATGGCCTGACCAGGAATCGAACTGTGACCTGGTTCATAGGTCCACGCTCAACTAGTGAGCCACCCCAGTTGGGCCCATGGAGCTTTTTTAAAAAATAAATTTATTGGGGTGACATTGGTCAACATGAACACAGAGGTTTCAGGTGTGGGTTTCTGTTACAAAACTGCATAGTGCACCGTGTGCCCAGCACCCAAAGTCAACTCTCCTGTCACCATGTATTGGGACCCCCTTCTCCCGAGACCCCCCTTCCTTCTGGCAACCACCACACTCAGCGGGCGGAGCGTTGTTTCCCAGCATCGCTGAAAGGGAGAGGGAATGGGAAAGGGGAAGTAAAACTCCCTTGCAGCCCTGGGGTCCTGCCCCTTCCCATAGCTATCTAGTTTTCGTCTCCATCTCTCCCTTCTCAGGTTCCTACTGAATGGGCAGTGCTGGGCTGCAGAACCGAGTCCTAGAAAGAGCAGGACCCAGAGAGGGAGTGTGAGGGGTGGACCTCCTCCGGCCCGGCCCCGGAAATGCCTTAGCTTGGGGGAGACCCAGGAGCTGAGTCCAGAGTCAATGAAATAAGGGGAAGAGAAAGGACCCAGAGGTGGTCTGCCCCACCCCCCTCTCCCGCTACTGTGAACTCTCTGAAATGTTTAAGGCTGAATTCTCTTCTGAGAAAACGTTTGCAGTGCCTTGGGTCAAAGGTAACTGTCTCCCCCAAACGGCGTTTACTGGCCCTACTCCCAGAGACATTCAACCACCTTTCCATTGCACCACCCGAGCAGAAGTTAGTCCCCATCCCTATCGAGGCTGAATTCCCATCTCCAAGGCTGAGTGCAAGTCAGTGCTTGTCCCCGCGTTGGCAGAGAGAAGAGGGGAACAGGCACGTCCTCAATCACCCCTCAGCCTTAGGGTCTTAGGAGACAGGATGGCTTGGTTTCCACTGGCCGGAGGCTCCACTGGGAGGCGGTGGACGGCACCCCCAGGGCCTCTTTATGAGTCTGGAGTCTGAGCCTCCTCAGTTTCTCTCTAGCGCTGCGGGGGTGGGGGGGTGGGGGGGATGACTGGACGGAACCAGGGCTAAGGACTAAGGCACAACTTCTGGAGCCTGCATTTTCCCTCTCCGTGGCCGCCTCTCGGTGGCCTGCTCTCCATCTTCAGCTCTTACCATGATGAACCTAAAACAAAAATCACATTTCAGACATCAGGACAAAGCATTCTGACTTTATTTAGATGCCTACTTGCTAAGATCTTATTTTAAAGTTATTTCCCCCTTCTTTCTCCTTCCTCTCAGTCTTCTCCCCTGTTTACCATTTTTACCAGGTCATCCATATGGAGCACGGCGCTCCCACTTCCTGCAGCACTGTAGTTTGGGGCCTAATTGATTCTGGTAATTAATTTGTTTTACCTGCTAGATCAGATGAAAATTCTACCCGGGCGCCCAAGGATTAGCACTTGGCTTTCTAACACCTCCTCTAATTACCTAATAGCATGGGTTGTGAGGACTCAGTGTCTATTAAAACACTTTTGCTATTAGCAGTAGTGATTGGAATTGTGATGACAACTAGATTTCAACAAATTAGAGCTTAAAAATGGGGAGATGGAAGAGAAGTGGCTTCTTTTAATTTCCTTGAGTTTAACACCAATAATTAGAGCAATTTTTGGAGATGCGAGCCAAAGTTAGCCCTGCTGTGCTGTAGATGATCAACTTCATTTTAGCAAATTGACTCAAGGGAAATAAATGTGACAGATTAGAAAAAGAGAAACAGGAAAACAAATATTGGGAGGGAAGGAAATGAAAAGAAAGGCTGGGAAGGGAATGGGAGACAAAAAACCCTAGCACAAGTATACTAGTATGTGTGTGTGTGTCTGTGGGGGGAGGTTGGGGGGGGATGGGGGAGGTTGAAAGGGGTAAGTCTAGCAGAAATAGCAAGCCCTGGGAGTGGAGTGAGGAGGAGATAATGAAATTTGATAGGAGGTGGAGACTGGCGTTAAGAGTAGCTCTGGACAGATTTACACAGACCATATTACTTGACTGATGCAGATATAACTTCCCTCACACCACCCTCTATAACTGAGGTCAAGAATATTATGATCCATCATTTTATTTATCTACCTCAACAATCTAGTCATCCCTCAGCCATCAATTTAGGGTGGGTCTATCAGACGTGGACTCTCTTCTCACTTCTCCTTTGCTTTCATTTTTCTAAATATTTATTTTTAAAAAATACATTTTTATTGATTTCATAGAGTAAGGGAGAGGGAGAGAGAGAGAGACATCAAAGATGAAAGAGAATCAGCTGCCTCCTGCACGCCCCCTACTGGGGATCGAGCCGGCAACCTGGGCATGTGCCCTGACCAGGAATCGAACCATGAGCTCCTGGTTCATTGGTCGATGCTCATCTACTGAGTCACACCCTGCAGGGCCATTTTTCTAAAATTTTAAAACTCAGATCCAAATGCCAAAATAAATGCCTTATCCCTATTGCTTTGGGCCTTTTAAGTGCTTTCTGTTCTCTAAAGAGGAGTTGTTGGGGGACAGAGACTTTGTCTTTTTAGCGTTCTTTAAAAACAGCTGGGAGCAAACAGCTCCTGCAGTTGGAGGGGCAGAAATTAAGGTGGAGAATTTTGGTAGGAGCAAGAACCTGGTCTCCTCCGCTCTCCCGGGTCTGGAAGGCCGGATTCAGCACCGCCCACAGCTCCCCGCCACGCCCCGAGCCCGCACCGCCCCTCCGCTGCCGGCAGCCTCGCCATTGGCTCTCCTGGCCCCCTCTCCAAGCTGCCAATTCTCCTACACTCAGACCCAACCTACCCAGGAGCTAGTCTGCTCGCCTCTAGCGCCAGGGGTAGCCCAGGGCCGGGGGAGAGCCTGGAGATCCCAGCCTCGAGGGGTGGCTGTCGGCTCCTGGCCAGGCGTGGGGAGCCGCTGCCTGCTCCCTACACTTCCTCCTGGGCCTTCTTTCTGTGTTGGGGGGCTCGGACCAAGATGAACCTCAACTTCACCTCCCCGCTACACCCGGCGTCTTCTCAGAGGCCCACGTCTTTCTTCATTGAGGACATCCTGCTGCACAAGCCCAAGCCACTCAGGGAGGTGCCCCCCGACCATTTCGCCAGCTCCCTGGCCTCCCGGGTGCCTCTGCTAGACTATGGCTACCCCCTCATGCCCACCCCCACCCTCCTGGCTCCTCACCCCCACCACCCTCTGCATAAGGGAGACCACCACCACCCCTACTTCCTCACCACTTCGGGTAAGTAACGGGTCTCCAACTGTGGGAGCCTAGAGAAGGCCATGGCGGTCGCAGCCTGGCCTGTCGCCTCCTTCCTTCCGTGAGTGAGAGGTAGAAGGTGAGGGCTGTGGCTGTGAGCAGCAGAGCTCGCTGGCCGCATGCCCACCCACGGGTGACTCCTGTCGCTCTGTGCCCTTCACCATGGGGGACATGCCAGCGAGAGGGGCTGGAAGGGGGGTGCTGTTCTTGGTGGCGGGCAGTGCCCAGTCCCCTCCCTCGGGGTCTTTCTGGCCACTTGGTCCAGCTCTCAGTCCCCACTCGCTGTCTGCCTGCTCGAAGGGAGACCCCGGCCCCTTCACCCCCTTGGACAGACCTCAACTTTGTAATCGGAAATCCACAGGGCCCTCCCAGGGCTGCGCACTCACCGCCCAGGCGGCGAGGCCTAGGAGTGAACGAGGGTTGGGATATTCTGAGGACGGAGGTTTGGGCGCCAGAATAAGGGAAAAGGGGTAAGAAGAAAAGAGGGAGGGACGCGGCTGCCCTTTAACTCTCTTTACTCCCAACGTCTCGCCTTTAACTCACAGTCTTAAGCCCGTCGCTGGCCTCTGGGAGCCCGGCCCCAAAGCACTGTGGTTGCAGACCGGGCGAGAGAGAGCAGGCACCGGCCGCGTCTGGTGCGGGGCGGCGGGGACGCCAGGTGTTGCCGCCTCTCTCCGGAAGCCCCGCCGCCTCTCCGGCACTTCCATTCCGGCCGGAGTAGGACACAGTCACTCCCCGAGGCCCGGCGGGGCTGCGGAGACACGAGGCG